ATGATGTGATTTTCTGGAATTTTCTTTGGGATTCTGTCTTTCACTGTAAGAATGTACATATGATTAAAGTTATAGATCGTTGCATTCTTTGTAAGTGGGCAAACCTGCAAAATCAGCAAGGGGTCAAATACTTATTTCCCCCACTGTACGTTGTTTATGATCATTAACGTGACGTTAGCCTTGAATTGCTAGCTGCGGCTAATGGCTAATAACAACACACCAACATTAATCAAGTCTGCAGGAAGCCAAGGATGGATATCCAACTCCCCCACATCCAAGTCGGCCATTTTGATTAGGTCACCAATAGGAAGATCCCAGGCAAGAAAATCCTAATTGCTTCATGGCAATATAGACATTAATTTAGAAATAGAGAAATCAATCATGCAAACACTGAATTAAACTCTATCCATAATATTATGTTAAAATAGTGGATGTTAAATAGGTTTGTACAATAAGTCCAAACAAGTTTAACCAAAAAATATTTATTTCTCACAATTATGAAGGCTGGAGGGTTAGGGTTAGGGTTAGGATTAGGGTCATTAATGTGGGCCACCATAACATCAGTAACAGGTCAGTTTGAAACCAAAGACCTGTCAAAAAAGAAACCTGTCAAAATTCAGTTAAACAGAAAACGAAACTTTACTGTCAATACGAAAGCGGAAGATAAACGATGTCCAAACTCTAACCCTAACCCTGACCCTAACCTTAACTCTAACCCTCCAGCCTTCATAATTGTGAGAAATAAATCTTTTTGGGGTTAAACTTGTTTGGACTTATTGTACAAACCTATTTAAAATCCACTATTTTAACATAATATTATGTATAGAGTTTAATCCAGTGTCCCTGACCCTAATCCTGACCTTAACCCTAACCATAACCCTGACCCTAATCCTAACACTGGCCTTAACCCTAATCCTGACCCTAACCCTTACCCTAACCCTAAACTGACCCTAAACCTGACCCTAACCCTAATCCTAACCCTCCACCCTTCATAATTGTGAGAAATAAATATTTTTTGGTTAAACTTGTTTGGACTTATTGTACAAACCTATTTAACATCCACTATTTTAACATAATATTATGGATAGAGTTTAATTCACTGTTTGCAAGATTCATTTAACTATTTTTAAATTAACGTCTATATTGCCATGAAGCCATTAGGCTTTTCTTGCCCGGTATCTTCCGGTTGGGGACCTAACGGGTACCTGGAGGGCCAGCTGCCGGTATCTGCGGTGCAGTTGCTGGGTGTTTTCGGAGGGACTGGCCCCCAGCACCGCGTACAGGTCCCGGTCCCCCCGGTCACACATGCCGGTGCCTGCACGTGCTCAAACCCGCCCCGATGAGCGTGTTAACGGAGCCCGAACCGGAAGTACCGCGCGGCTCCGAAAGAGCCCGCGGAGGAAAACGGAAGTCCCGCTATAGCTCTGGGTTTATGTCCCGTTTAGTCTACAAAGCTGGCGACCCGGTTTGGCTAAAGCTGGACATCCTTTCGGGTCCTGACAGATGGCAATGTTTACCTAAACGGTCCCAGCGGCACTTCCGCCGGAAGTGACAGACACTTCCGGTCGATTCAACACTTCCACAATAAGAGCGTGCTCCAGTCGCCGTCAGAAGCGGAAATGCAAATTGATTGATTCTGTCAGCTTTTCTGTGTCGCCGTCCATTTGTGTTTGCTCTGCCCACACATAACTGCTTCCTCAAGCTCAAGAAAAGAATAGATGCCGTGAAAAACGTCACTTAACGTCCCACAACTCCTTCTGTAGTCCCTCTACCTCTATCTCTATCTCACCACTGACTCTGATCAGTGTTTCTCCTCTGGATAGCTTATTGTCATAGTGATGAGAAATGTAATATTGTGTCTACTCTGTAAGTCGCTTTGGATAATAGCGAATGCATAAACATAAACACATAAACATAAACACTTAGTGCCTAAGTAAAGCAAAACTTGGGTCGAACAATCCACAAAGCATCGGTCTGTTTGCTATCCCACACACCACAACACTAACACACTTTATATCCTGGTTGAGATATGATATGTCCTGAGACACCCAGAAAAGACAGGCTAGTTTGGTCTGAGCTCACATTGAGCTCCTATGTTCACTGTGTTATAAATGGTAAGAACAATTGTGTAGACAAACGGAATTTACATTATAATGTTAGAATTGGGCTATAATTACTCACTTTAGCACAGTATGTTATAACTTAATCCATGTAAACGACTGATTGTCTTATTCCTTTCAGATTCATATTATTCCCTTTATAATGATACTTTTGGGTTAAACTCCTCCTCTCTCTCTGTTACAGTAGATATACGTCTTTAAGGTCAATATTCACACTTTCTTATCACATTCCACCTAAACCTGCATGAATTAGGACCTGGCCTGTTCACGTCAGAGCTAACTGGCCAATAACACTCGGTTACGTCCAGCCGTCCTCCTGTTCGAGGCCCAGAGGAAAACTAAAAGCCTAAATGGAGGCTCTTTGCTAACTGAGATCCTCCGGGAGCTTTGTCTGTGAGAGCCCAGCTGATTTACTTTGCTTGTGACCAATAAATATATTTGTGCTCTTGATCTGCTCTGGTTTATTCTCAGGCTTCAAACTAAATAACCAAATCTAACAATAGTATTTCAAAGTAAGTGCATTTTCTTTAGGCTGACGTGTCTTCACTGCTGTGACGTTTCAGGTAGGTGGGGAAAACAATACGCTTTAAGTTATCATCTGTACTTTATTAAGGACACAGACACTTTGGAAAAGCATTTGCATATTAAATGATTTGCACAGGACAGTTTGGAACCCTCTGGCAGAAAGGTCCTGGTTCCCCCGGGACTCCAACCCAGAACCCTCTGGTCCTGGTTCCCCCGGGACTCCAACCCAGAACCCTCTGGTCCTGGTTCCCCCGGGGACTCCAACCCAGAACCCTCTGGTCCTGGTTCCCCCGGGGACTCCAACCTAGAACCCTCTGGTCCTGGTTCCCCCGGGACCCAAACCCAGAACCCTCTGGTCCTGGTTCCCCCGGGGACTCCAACCCAGAACCCTCTGGTCCTGGTTCCCCCGGGACTCCAACCCAGAACCCTCTACAGTAAATAACTTTGCCTTGCATTTGATAAGCTGATATAAACTGAGTGGGAAAAGGTCTTTCAAACACACACACACACACACACACACACACACACACACACACACACACACATACGTGTTTTCATCATATACAAGGACACATGACAGAAATAGGACAAATCTTTAGGTGGCTTTCCAAAGGTTCTTAGGACAATAGAGATATTTGGTTTAGAGGTATTTCGGGGCTTCTAGAACACTCTAGTATGCTCAGAAAAATGAGGACATGAAAAGTGTCCTCATATTTCTACGCGTCCTGATATTGAAGGTGTGTATTCACAAAATTGTCCTGATATATCTTGAAAACAAACACACACTCACACACTCAGACACACACACACACACTCACACACACACTGACAATGACTACTTGCCACTTGACTAAGTGATCTTAATTCACCAAAATGAAAATACCATTAGCTGCATCCCCGTTACTCTCCGAGGCCTCGTTAGGGACCATGACGACGAAGTGGCAGACAGGAAGTCAGACCACAGGTGTCACTGTGTCACCTCCTCTCCTCCGATCCCATTTCAATTAACAGATCGGGCCTGGTCTGTATTTTTAGGATCCCAGCAGGGGTCCTGAGCTGCTCTTTCCGGGGCACAGTCTCCGTTTTCATAATGTTTGGTCATTTTTACTGAGGCCGGGTTTGGAATAACGGTTCTATCTGCTCAGCTTCCATCGTGGTCTGCAGTTTTGATAACAGGAAATATAGTTTAGGTCAGAAACAGCCTTTCAAAAGAGTTGTCTGAGTTCCCCAGATAGTTTTAGTTCCTTTATGAACTAAACAGATCCACTATTCACAGGATCCTGTGGAAATATCCTTCCTTTTTTTTGTTTTTTCTTCAAACCAACCAAGTTATTTGTTATAACATCTTATTATTTCTACTTATTGTGTAACATCAGCATTGTAAACACTCTTGTTTCACTCTTTGTTCCCCTCTTTTTTTCTTCTCAGTTGGCTGCGTTAAAACCAAATCAACTGACTCAACTCTGCAGGCTCTGCAATCTTTCCCAGATATACACATCATAGTTCACATTTTTTTTGTGATTCACTGTTTTTTATTTAAGAACAAATTCCCAAGCTGGTAAACAGGAGCATTACAAAGTCAGTGATCAATCCCCACCCGCCCCATCCCGACCTTAGATACAAATCACATGACCCATTAGGTCATAAATTAAATTAAAAAATATATAGATATATTTGTATTGTTGACACTCTCGCCCCATGGATTCTTGCAGTAGACAGCTCCATCATTATGACATCTTGAAAGTATAACAGCCATTCTTTTTAATAGGAAGCTTGTGTGTGTGTGTTAGTTTTTTTGCTGCTGTTAGACCTTTGTTTCTTTGTGTGTTCAAACTGTGAGTCGTCATTCAGTAACAGTAAACTGGGTTGTAATGGATTCTCTAATTCTAATAATTCAGATGAATGAAAAGTTACCCTTTCCCAAAAAGACTTAACCTCTTCACAACCCCAAACCGTATGTTTATAGGTACCTGGAATATCTTTATTGCATAGACCACAGCATAGGCTGTTATTTTATTTTATGTTATTTTATTTATTCGTTTATTTGATAGGGAGAAGTATGTTTCATGAATCATGTCACACACTACAACATTTTAGCTAAGGCTAATTCTCAATGCCTGTCCCCAGTTCGGCTTCTACACAAAACACAGTGACTGTACACAAGGCACAACAGAACAAATTACACACTAAAACATCACAAATACAAAGTTATTGTGCTATAGTTCAATTTTAAAGAAAGATCGGAAGCATTCAAAAACAAGGTGCTACGAAACCTAACAATAGGTCCAGATATGGCTGTTTATCACGAGTGTTCTTCATAACCACGAGGTGTCGGGAAGTCGTTTAAGGGTACAAAGATCTGAGATCTGGGAAGAGATTCGTGGCCTACCACCTGTTCAGGTGCTAATTCAGTTAAAAAAAAAAGCACCTGTTAGGTGTGTGGGGGATGTTTTCCACAGGCAGGAAACAACACGAGATATCGACTAATGATGGTTCACCTGTGAGAGAGTGGAGAAAGAGAGTGGACAGATGTACAACCTCCTCTATCATATGTTTAATACAGGTGAATATATTTCACCATGGCTTCAGCAGGTCAAACAAATACTAGACCACTGTGGTCTGTCCTACATCTGGACCTCAGACTGTTAATAATGTAATAACGGGTTGAAACTAACTGTTGAACGGACACTAAAAAAACTTTGCATTCAAAATTGGCAAAGTGAAATTAGGCAAATGACATCTTGTGATGTTTATGCAGAAATTAAGCAAGAATATAAATTTGAAAAATACTTATGTGAAAAACTTGGATATAGGCAGTAACCATCTGTAACCTTAGAAAAAACAACAGTAGAATCCCTAAAGTCACTGGTTTAGATGTATAAAAGTTTAGAGAGAAAGTTAAGATTATGCCAACTCTGTCCAGATAACTGTGTTGGAGACGAGTATCATGTTTTGTTTGAGTGTAAAAATGTAGAAATATGCCATTACAGAGAGAAGTATTTTCCACATTATTATGTGCAGAGCCCATCGATGTTTAAAATGATTTCATGATTTTAGTCTGGAAAAAAGAAAATAATTTGTAAATTGGATGCCTTTTTTAAATGGGTCCTCCCATTATATCGATGATGTTATAGTTTTAATGCATATGTGTTACTTTGTTCTGTTATATTTATTGTTTGTGCTCCAAACCATGTATATGGTAATGAGCAATTAAATAAAATAATTGAAATTGAAAAAGAATCAGGACCCATTGTGGCCGACTGGCCGGTTCGGTAAAAGGTCCAGTATCAAGGATACTGTCTATATTACTATATAATATTACTATAGTAATAATTAATAATATTACTATATAATATTTCTAGATTACTATATACGATACTATAATCAAGGACCAAATAACATTTATTTATTTATTTATTTTTTTTAAGCTTCATAAGTTCCACCTCTATGTTTAAGCATGGTGAAGAAAGAAATGAGGAGGGTCCCAGCTTAATACAGATGAAGTTATAAGGTGAATTATGGAGGAGTTCATTGACCTATTTGAGTTTATGTGTCTGTCTTTTGTTTTTCTACTCATCAAATCTAAGTATTAACCCTAAAACGCAAAATGTATCATATTTGATTCATACGGTTTCTGAAGTCTTTTGGATGTGAGACTTTCT